AGCCGGTTTCACACGCGTGCTTGTTGCCGACAAAGAAAATAAACACCACAACGAATCTGCTGCCCCCATTACTGCCGCGGGGGCCTCCTATCGGGAGACCCTCGCCGACCAGAAAGCTTCGTCGTGTTCTTTTCGTCCCGCCGTAAGACCTGGCGATGGCCTCCTTTGTGGGGCAGCCGGTTGTATGTAGCGTGGTCGATGGTAACTATACGCCATCTACTTCACATACATGTCGAAGAAGAAAACGCCGGGAAAAATACGATCCCCGCCACAGAACAAAGCTCGCCCGTACTAAGGAAAGCTAGCTCGCACGTTCCTTACGATGAGAAAACCGCCCCATCCGAATTTGACGTTGCTCACGGCGCATGGTTCCGGCTAGATATGGCAGCCACCCGATCCCCGCCGTCGCAAAACAGACAGAACGCTCTGAATACATCGAATCTTTGCCAGCCAGCGTGAAGAGAAACTACACACGTTGGGCTGGGACTTCTCTCTAGCTCCGAAAGGCGGAACATGCGGCAGCGACACGGCTTGCGATAAGTTCGCTCTTATAGCCTCGCCTTCAAGATATCCCTTGGTGCACACAGAAGATGCAGCAACCGCGAACAACAAGCCCCCCAAGCGGCGCTAAATAATGGTCACGGGGCTACCCTTCTTTGCCTCGCTCCACGCTGCACCTCCTGCTACTTGTCTCTTCCCCGCATATCACCACATCACTTCTAAAATGAACGCTTGCAAAGACAACCACGTCGATGATAGCGAAACCGCTGGGTTGTTACCCATCTCTCGCGTACCTCGCGGCGTTTGTCGTGTATCGTACACATGTACACGTGTACACATCTACAGCAGCTCTGGTGACTCTAATCTTCCTTGTCTCTTGGCCAGTTCTCCCCGGCGTTGTTAGTGTGCTTCGGAGAATTGGCCCACGTCTATTGTGTCTATACAGTACATGTATATATGTATACGATCGATCTTTACTACAGAACAACCCCCCCCCCCCCCTCCCCCAACAAACCGTCAAGGAACGCCCGTGCGCGGAGGCATTCATGAATAGGCCGTCCCCACCGCCCTAAATACAACGACCGCCTCTCTTCCCTACAAGAGGGGGGCCGTCAAGCGTAAAATCTCCCTCCCAAGTATTGACATCCTCCTCCTCCATATAGGGGTTCCACCGAAGAAAACGCCGATTTTCATTTTCAACCTCTTTATCTTGTTCTCCAAGTAACCCTAACCCGTCTCCAAGATGGTCCCAGCTTCTTCTTTTCCCCTCAAGGGAGGTTTCGCGTACAAGACATGAAGAGATTGAGCTTCTTCTCCCTCTGTCTGCATCCAACACCAACTCTTCCACACACTTGCGCCTTCGCGACGTCTATCTCTCCCCGTGGTTGCGATCGTACAAAACAAAAAAAACGATCGAGAGATCTATTGTAAGAAAACAACACCATACATTCGAGCGCCACTGCTTCTCAACACCCGTCTACGTACGTCCTCGCCTGCGGAACAACACGACCTGGAAGCACGAAAACTCATACCAGTACACATTGTCATAAATCCGAGTGATGATGGAAAATCTCTACTAAAAACAAAAAAATCCCGGAAATAAGTCGCCAGAGTCCGTGGTCGCGTCCCCTTTGCGAAGGGAAAAACAAAACACACCCAAAAGAAAACAAGAGACTCCTCTCCTTTCGAAGGTGCACCACCAAACAATCTCACCTCTAAACTGTATATCATCCCAGGCCATCACAAGTTTCCTCTCGAGATTCAATACCACACATCTGCAAGAAGAACGCTTGCTGCTACTGCTGCTGCTGCTGCTCCCGTCGTTGACAAATATTTACTAGAAACTCAACCGCCGTCCGTGACCAAACTTGAAGCCCTGCCTCCTCGGCATGCCCTGGGGGGTGCATTCGCCCCCTCCTGTTGTCGTCTGGTCTGGGCTGATGCCGCATACCGCGAAGTGGTGCGTATCCGTCCTTCTTACCCTGCATGAGAAAAGCGAGAAGCGAGCAACAGCAGGCGGATGACGTGAGGAAGAGCGCGAAAAATGCTCAGTGCAGTGAACACGGCAGCATAGCTCACCGGCGGTAAACAAGGTTATCAAGCGGGACCGATCTAACCCTTCACGCTTGGTTATTTGTTCTTGCATGTCAGGCTGATGCATGCATGGGCCACAGGGAGAGAGAATACGCCAACGGATATGAGGCTCAAAGGCAAACGTTCAGCATGCCGCTCACAAGTACAACGTAGTTGACCTGTATCCTAGTAGTCGCAACACAACGTGTATTGATTTAAAACTTACACGACAGAGAGAGACGCTCTGCTCGAGACAACAACCTTCTTTTTAATTATTGATACAAAGAACACAACTTCTTTTTTGTTTTGTTATACATTTTATTCACCTCTGCCACCGATAAGCATCCGGGTAGATTAATCCATAGTGTTGTCATCCTTTCGAAGGCATGTATTGATTTCCTTTTCAGCAGTGAGGGTTGAGGTACGCCAGCTGGCAGTGTATTTGTCACCGAGAAAGCAATGACGCAATCCGGAAAACAAATTTGTGCATACGAGCAGTTTTTTTTTTAGTTTTGGGAGATAATTGTTCGATGCCCGTGTGCGCAAGAACAAATGCATAGCGGGTACCACGGCAGTCGTACGCCGCCTTATTTATTTTTTTATTTTTATTTTTATTTCCCTGCTCGTGTCGAAAAAAAAAAAACACACTTAACCGGGTGGCAGCCGGCGCGAGCCTGCAACGGACCGACCTACATGCTTGCCACCGGCACCAACAACCACCTGTCAGCTTGGCGAACAAGCGAGGCAACCTTGGACACCCCTTGCTGACATCCCTGCCGCCGCAAATACATACAGATATTTCAAACGCATCGCACCGTCTAGCTTAGCAACAACTGCAATACTGGTCGCAGTGCTGTAACTCGAGCCGCCTTTGGAGTCTCGGGCTCGCGACACGGACGTGGTGATCGGGAGACTGGCGCGCCCAAGCGGGCGAAGACGTCGAAAGGCGACTGACTGCAGACTCATGCACCGTACCGCACGAAAACGCCTCGCTTTGGGAGCGCATATACGACGATTGGATTCCTGTTGCACTGCTGCTGTTGCCGTCAAGTCTACCTTTCGGCCTGCCTTATATTACATCTGTACGTGGAGACGAATATTCATATCTGTAAGAAGAAAACTCCCTTCCATGTAACCCGGCTGGTGCGTCAACCATACTGGTACACCGCAAGGTCTTGGCTGGCTACCGCAAGGTGTAGGCTGGCGCCCGGCATATTCGATGGCACGAAAAGACCTACGCGCGGAGATATGTTCCCAAAACGGCAGGCGCCGCCGCCGACCCCGCCACCTGTGTTTTCGGGTAAATTTATCCACGGAAGTCTGGTGCACTCTCTCCATGTGTACGTTACCAAACAATATCGGGCTGCTGCCATGAACGTGCTGAAGCCGAGCGGGGATTTCGTGATGGGAGCTAGCTCACTCTGAAGCGACCGGATGTTGGGGCAGGAGGGTGTGGGAGTATGGTTGACGCGTGCGCGAGTGAATGACGGACGCGCGCGCATTCCTACGTACCCAGCAGCAGACAGCTCGCTCGCAGAGCCTCCGCGCCGGCATATGTGGAGTTTGAAAGTTTAACTTTGAGCCTTCGGCAAGAAATTCAACGCTAAGTCCCTATAGAGAGAGATAAAAAAAAACGAACCGTGGACTACACGCGAAGGATATCTAAAAAAACCCGTGTGCTATTGTATGCATAGGCGATGCAGAGACTACATGTGGTTTGGAATATCAGCTACTGCTGTTGAATATGTGTTCGCGGATGCGTATGCATTGGTGTGTGTATTTATTTTTCCTAATATGTGTGTATGTGCGGTAGAACCTTGGCGACGGGAAAAGGACCGAAAATCTATGTTTTGCCGAATGCCTGGAGCTTGCTTTGCCGCTGGCGCCCACACCGCCGACGCCCACACCGTCCTCCTCCCCCCCACAAGGCTCCATTCACTCATAGGCGCAGCTAAAGCGGTGGCGTCTCAAGGTGCCGTGATATCTTCCTATGTACAGGAACAGCTGTTGTTTGGGTAGCGTGAAAAGTGAAAAGTGCAAGCACTGCGGGTTGAAGTGTCGGTTGATCTAAATATCTATCTGACGCTGTGGGATGCGTGTTCCTCAGGGGGAGAGAGAGCTGGACGCAGGGGCCGCCTCTACGCGTTCTATCATACCGAAAAGATCTGGAAAAGCAGGACAAAACCAACACACCGCCACGGGTGTGGGTGGGCTCACTCGATGCTGTCGGAGCGGTCGCTCCTCTCCCCGTCGTCTTCGTCCTCTTCGTGGTCCGTCACGCCGTACTCCACCGACGAGGAAGACGACCGCGGATGCCTCTCCGGCAGGGACAGGTTCCGCTGCATCCGGAGCTCCCTCTGCTGGACCAGCGCCATCTCGTCAGCGTTGCTCAGCCCCCGGCTGCTGCGCTGCAGGTCTATCGTGTGTTGCCGCTCCTCTCGTATCTCCTCTTCCTCTTCTTCTCCCTCCTCCCCGTCTTCACGCGCCTCTGTCTGGTTCGGCGTCAGCCTCAGCTGCTGTTCCAGGGTCATCGCCGCCGGAGCTCCTGGCACTTGTTCGTGGTTGCCTGCAGTTCCTGCTGCTGCTGTGCATAGTCGCCCTACTGCTGCTGCTGCTGTTCCTTGTTGTTGAAGTGGACGCTTCTTGCCGGGCAAAAACCGAAGCATGTTCATTAAGTTCGTGTGCCCTCTTCTGCGGCTGTCGCTGCCTGTCAACGCTGTCGAAGAGTCGTAGATGGCAAGGGTGTGCTGGTGTGGATATTGGTGTCCCGTCTGAATCTGTGAGTGAGAGTGTGTAATAAGGAGTGTGCAGGAGGGAGAGAGGGAGCGACGAAAAGGGGCGGGGGATTTAAACCTACCGCAACAGAGGAACTCTGCGTACCTTATCGAAGACGAGCGTAATTGCGCCGCACCTCCCTCTCCCTCCTCCAGGTTGTCTAAAGCCTGTGCGCTTCATCCGCACGCGCTCGCTCACCGTCGCCCTTCTCGTCCCCCCTTTCTCCCAGAAGCACAGATGAAGAACCTTGTCCATGCGTTGCTTGTGGGGCTCTTGCCCTGCTTCGGTCAAGCTTTCGTTACAACTGCGGCGGTAACAACATCAACATCATGTTCTCACCCGGCAACAAGAGCGACCATGAGCATGAAACAACAAGGGACGCCACTACGATCGAGGATCGAGCGCGCCGCCGTTGCTGCTGCGGTGGCCACCTCGGTGGTCATCCTTAGCACCGCGTCTGTGCCGGCAGCGTTGGCCGAAGAGCTTCCGCCTGGTAAGAGACAGGGGGGGGGGGACGCGGGTTTTGGTTGTGGACCTGCACTGCTGCCGCTGCGGGCAGTTTTGGGTACATGTATCATATGCATACCTGCTGCTGTGTTGGCGTGGTCTACACTACTGCTGTACATGTCATGACCTCGATCCTTTATCGCTCCCGCCTGCCGCTGGACATACCGTAGCCCTGCAGGTTCGGCGAACTGGTGCCACACTGATGCCTAGGTCTTCTGGTCACTCAATGGTTGTGTTCTCAATCAGTCTTGTATCGCGAATCATCGTGCGTATTTAGTGTGTACCCTGACAGACTTGGGAGCAGTGTAACCTCCTGTTGTTGTACAGAACCGGCCCGCACTTAAGAATATGGACGTTAAGAATTTGAGCCTCAAAAAATCCAATTTTTAAGAATTTGCCCGTAAGAACACGTGCTCAGATCGGACCTGCTGTTAAGAATAAGAACCTCCAGTGAGGTGTACGACTGGTGCAACAGATAAGAACATACGACATGACGCGGCGGTGGCGAGAGAAGAACATACACAGATGGAGGAGGAGGGGGGGGGGTGTACTCATAGTCGTGCATGCCGTAGTCGTTTGACCATTGACCTCGCATCCCTACAAAGCCGGGACGGAGCACGCCGGGTTCTCACCGGACCAGGCTCTCACATCACCAAGCGCGAAGCGCCGTGAGGTATTTGGCGAGTCGCATGAAGGGTGAGCTGCATCCTGCTAAGGGTGTTCGGCATCTTGTGCTTACTTCCTTGCGTACGGATGACAGCTACGTATGACTTAATTTACTTTCTGGTGCTTTTACTTCCAGAGACAGTTGTAAGCACTGTGTAACTGCCTCGAGGAAGCTTGACCATTTTAACACAACGTGGTACGATCATCCCCCGTTGCGCGGAGTGAGGTTTCTCCACCCCGCACAACATGATCTACTCGACCACCATTATGGTTACCGCCAAAAATGGAGGAGGAGGGGGGGGGGGGCGTTCCCAGGTTTTTTGCTAGGTAGTTGGTACCTACCTAGACTTTTAGATTTTTTTTTTAGGTGGGGGTCTGCTGTTCATACACGTCGTGTCCCGTGCCAGCGAGTTTTTTTTTTTACCACGCAACGCGGTGCAGCGTGCCACGAGTTGCCTGCCGTGCAGGGGGATCATGTCCCTGTCCAACCCCCTATCCCATGGGTTGTTGAAGGACCTTGGCAAACTCTCGGAGTTGAAACAACGAGGACTGATTCTTGACCGTCACTTCGAGACGATAAAGGCACATGTGAAGGCGGGCAACTCCGTTGCGAAGGAGCGATGGGACGCAATCGAGAACGCATGGGGGCTGAAGCAGACGGGTGTATTCAACGAAGAAGAGTGGATCACGCAGATTGATGGAGAGGCCCAGGGTATTTCCACCAGCACCCGTCCGTCGTTTTTAACGCCACAAGATGCGGGCGGCGCGCGAGGTGCACCGTCTTCGCACCCACCGCCTGCTACTGCTGCGGCTGCCGGCAAGAGAAAGGTCGCAGATCGGGGGAAGCAAGCCAGGAATCGAGCTGCCCAAGGTGTTCTAGGTGGGAACATCATCAACGCGTTCGCTCGTGGCAGCGGAAAACCGGTGAGTTCAGTCGTCTGACAACTCTGTTGCTGTGATGATGTACATATATACAGCAGTCGTACGGCGGTCCAGCCGCTGTATGTATGTAGTGTAGATACAGCAAGAGTGCTCCTGCTGCTGCTGTTGTTTAAAAAAAAACGCGGTGGTGATGAAATGAAAAATCGAGAGAAAAACTACTCTGTCACAGGTTGGTGTAAACGACTGACTTTCAGCATGGCGTATATGTATGTGTACAACTTTTTCAAATATTCTCCGTTTGCCTCACGTTTTTGAGGAAGGCAAGGACGGCACAGTAGACACAGTGGCGAAAAAGAACGCGTACACGAGCGCCGTCCCAACCGTATTTTGTAACCTTTTTTTTGCAGCACCGTGATACAAACACACGAGAGACGGTCATGTAATCACCCCCCGCCCCATCTGCATAGATTTATATATTTTGCCATCGACATCCACGCAATTTCAGGTCCACAGCTCGTTGAATCACCTGCACTTCAATTCCGCCCTTCTCCTACCGCGCCGTGCAGATTGAGCGGACTCGCGGTGGTGTCACAGAGCATGTGTCGGGCATCAACTTCCCACCTCCGGCCCCAGAGCGGCGCCTACCGTGCACTCACTGTCCCATGACCTTCGTGAACGAGCAAGGACTTGGGATCCACGTGAAAACACAGCACAGCAATGCAAACATGTCCAACGGCTTGCGGCTGCAGCGGATGCTGGGGAAGACTCCCAAAGGGCATGTTCAGCCGTGGGAAGAAGCCGGGCCTGGACGTTGTTGGCACGTGAAGGTCGATGGTGCCAGGGGGGCGGCTTCGTTTGTCCTCCAACGGAAGCGCTTCCGCGATCTCGACTTGGAAAGCGACGGCTTTACGGACCGCAAAGTCAAGGAGACTCGTGGAGCTGTGAAGCGCAAGCGATACGACTACAGGTTCAAAGCCCATGTTGTGACCCAGCTGCGCCTCCTCCAGGAAGACGCCGCAGACCTCTTCAAGGAGGAGAAGCTCACGCCTCTCCAGTACTTAGAGGACCGTCTCAAGGTTAACTACAGCCTGATCGTGAAGTGGGCTCAGGACGAGGCCAATATAGTCCAATCGGCAGCAGATGACGTGAAGAAGACCCTCCTTGCCAAGCAGCAGCGGTGGTGTTCCTGAGCTGAAGAGAAGAAGCTGTACAATATGTTCTTGGCGCGGCGGAGGAGGAAGCTGAAGGTGTCGACCCTGTGGCTGACGGTCACCTTCCGGAAGCTCGTGCAAGAGAATCACCCTGAGGACCAACGGGCGGCGGCGTTCAGCGCGTCCTTCAGGTGGGCACGAAAATGGGCAAAGAGGCATAAGCTGTCCAAACGGCGCAGGAGCAACCTCAAGAACAAGTCTGTTGAAGAGCGCCTACCAAAGATCCAGCGCTTCCACCGGCGGTTTCGCAAGCTCCTGCAAGAGCCGGTACGGTACAGGGCACCCGAGGCATCGGACGTGTCGGCGATGTCGACGGTCGCGGAGGGAGAGTCCAGAGATCCCAAGTACGGTCAGTTCCAGCTCTGGGAGCGTTGGAATGTGGATCAAGTGCCTTTGCCATTCGTGAACGGGCTGATCAGCACGTGGGAAAAAACAGGCGCGTTGCGTGTAGCCATCTCGCAGCCCTTTGCTGGCCTAGAGAAAAGGCAGTGCACCATGCAAGTCATCTTTGGTCCGGGTGAGAAGACTATGCGGATTTCGGTGATTTTCCGAGGCCAGGGGAAGCGGATTTCGCCGGTGGAGAAGGCCGCGTACCACAAGGACGTGGACGTGTTTTTCCAGCAGAATGCGTGGGCGGACCAAAAGTTCTGCATGGAGTGGGCCAAGAGGTCGTACCGCGAAGGCCTGATCCGCGGGCGGGGTGAGCTCCCCAAGGCGAGGTCCATTCTGATAATGGACAACTTGCACGCGCAGACCACGGACGAGTTCAAGGGGTATCTTGCGAAGCAGTGCAACACTCTCGCCTGGCTTGGCCCTGCGGAGTGCACGGACGAGGTGCAGCCAGTTAATGCAGGAGCCGGACGATTTCTCAAGGTGGAAGTTGGCAACGAGATGGACAAGTGGCTCGATCAGTCGGACAACATCGAGAGGTGGGAAACCGCGTCGCTGACAGCTTCTGACCGGCGCGTACTGATCACTCAATGGGCGGGAGCGGCCATGGAAAAACTCAACAGCAATCAGGGGTACCGACACCGCCTTTTCGAAAAGTGCGGGATGGCGATGACCGTGGACGGCTCAGGAGATGATCGAATCACCTTGGAGGGTTTGGACCAGCCGTACACCTTCGCAAACGATGAAGACTCCAGCGAGAACGAAGGAGGTTCGGAGGACGGCAGCGATGGGCCCGAGGGGAAGGAGGAGGAGGGCGCCGGAAGGCGCGAGCCGGTCGTCGGGGATGAGCGCAACGGTGCCAACAGCGGGGAGGGCATGGAGGGCGCTGGATACAGCGATGAAGACGACGACAGTAAGTTTGATTGGCACTACATAGACTACAGTTAATTCATTGTCCTTTTTGTTCATCTTGACGACAGTAAGTTTGATTGGCACTACAAGACTACAGTTAATTCATTGTCCTTTTTGTTCATCTTTCCTTGTGCTGTTTGGGATATTGCTGATATTCTGTTTCCGCGTCACGTCTACGAACAAATGGTGTGTTCACTTCAGTTGAGTAACGGCGATGACACCCGTACGTTCCTTCTCGTGTTTCACGGTACCCTTTCGTCGCAGACATGTCTCAATCCCAGACCGACGAGCTAGCTCTTTTGGACGAGGACGACAGCATGGACCCAGACGACCCGGAGGACGAGACGCAGGGAATGGAGATCCCGGCGGGCTTTCGCCTTCAAGAATTTACCCCCGCTGCTCTTGACAGATTGCTTTTGCAACGTGGAGTGCTTGTTCGGCTGGGCATGGGGTGGTTCGGTGGGTTGATCATTCAGCAATCTCCGCAGCGCCACCTGTACGACTACTGTGTGCAGCTGGAAGTAGACCACAGTACGCGCAAGATGAAGCTGCCCTTAGACAAGTACAGCGGAGATCCGGACGCGGCGGTAGGCTCATGGGTTTTGCTTGAGAGCGTCAGTAGGGCGGGAAGGGTACGCACCCCCAACGTCACTCTTGTGGACCAAGACGGTTGACAGTTGCCCCATGGGGGGGAGTTTGCGGGTATGAAACTCTGCCTCGAGTGCAGTTGAGTAGTGCACCAATTGAGCAATCGATGATGAAATAAGAACAAGAACACCGTTTCTGGAGACAACTTGACGACGAAATAAGAACCTGGCAAATAAGAACTTGAGCTCGGCTTGGGGCAGCCAACAAGAAGCGAGCCTCGCTCCAAATAAGAGGTTCTTAAGTGCGGGCCGGTTCTGTATCTGTTCCTGGAAATGCATGTCGTCTTGATCTCCGTCAACGCAGGACGTTCAAAGCCCCTCTCTGTATGCGTATCGTTGCACACGACCTCAGCACCAACCTCATCGGATAAAAATAGAAAGAGCGGCGACGAAGGCGTGGTTTCGCTTACAAACAAGCCCTCATTCGACCACACCTCTCTCGTTGTTGGTCTGTGCAGGCACCAACCCGTTCACGTCCATCTGCATGGGCTTCGGTTGCGGGGAGTTCCAGGGACTGGTGAGCCAATTTTTGCCTCTTTTGTTGTTGTGGCACTCCCGACGTACAAACCTGTGTGCCACGGACGTTATAGGGTGGTCAGGATATATCGGTTTTCGAGTGGTGCATGTTGCACAATTTTGCGCGGGTGGGCATACAGCGCAGACGGGCGGTAAAATGTTGACCCCCTCCCCCGCCGTGGTCAGCACAGGCAGTGATCGAGAAAAGACTTTTTGAGTGAGTGCCCCCCTGTTCTCCGCGACAATAGTGCTCTCTCCTGCTTCCTGGACGGCAGTTGTCATCGTCAACAAGAGATTAACAGGTAGCAGGAAAACGCTGGCTGTGTTCCTGTTCCCCCCCCCCGCCCTTTCGCGCTGTCGTGGCATTCGGATCACGAAGGAACGAGAGAACATTAATCCCTTGACAACCTTTCCTGTATGCTCCACCTCTCGCACTCCAATGGACACTGGCAGCAACGCCAATTTCTTTTCCGTCTCGCGGCCGCCGCAACTAGAAAAATGAACTATAATGCGTACTTCTAATATATATTCCCTTCGCGGCAATTATTCGGGTCCCAGGACTACCCAGGCGCGCCGGCCCCCACCGACGAAGACTCCATCACCTTCAAGAGCTTCCTCCAGTCATTAGACAAGGGGCTCGTCACCAAGGTAGACTTTCTCGCCGGCGGCGACAAAGCCTACGCCTTTGTGAAACCCGATGCGGCGGGGGAGGCCACGCGCATCCGCGTCGGGGAGGGCTACCCTGACGAGCAGGGGAACAGCTGGAGCTCGCCGCTGTGGGTTGTCCGCGCTTTGAACGACCGCAACGTGAGTCGGGATGGAGGGAGGGAGGGAGGGAGGGTGTGGGCGAGAGGAGGGATTCCGAGAGACTGGGGCCGAGAGAAGGAATGCAGCCAAGGGAGAGGCATGATAATTTTTCTACGGAGTAGGTGTACGGGGATACACACGGAGAGGTAGCTGGATATTCCTGTACGAACTAGAAAGACACGGCCAGAGAGATTTGAGCCAAGAGAACACGTAGAGACGGAAAAGGCAGACCGAAGTCAGGCAAGCAGGCAAACACACACGCGTATGGCAGTTCTCGATTGCTTGTTTGGCTGTTTCAAGCTTTGTGCCAACGTGGGCGATTTTCCACTATTGCCCATCGAGTAACAGCTTACGACGGGCAGCAAACAGCCATAAACCGCAACGTGCGCCCGTCTTTCTCATTCCTACCTCCCTACCGCGAGCTACAAAGGACCTACAGCGGCGCACTTCCACACTTTCTCTTGCCACGGCATTTCAAAGTCGCTTTACATATGCATATGACTCTGCAATGCATGCAGGCCCGTGTCCTGGTGGTTTGGAGGGCCGTTCTGCCGCGTTTTTTTTTTTCCGCTCGTCCGATGTCCGATGTCGGATCTTCGTAGCTTGTACGCTACTAGACGCATCTATTTCCTCTCTTTGTTGTGTAACCAACGATCGATTAGCCCCCGCATGCTGACGCAACGTTTCGATGTTCGCAGGTACCCTACCACTTCGAGTACAACCTCGGCAAGGGGCGCGCAACGCAGACCGTAGCCAAGTGAGGGAGAGGAACGACACCATCAGCCATGATATGTTGTCACTGTCTACCGTCTACTGGCTATGCAAAGTGCTGGGACCCTCGCGCCTCCACAATCATGGTCGATCGGGTCGTCGTCTGGTGTCACAATTCGGCGCTCTTTCGCTCTGTCTTTCGAGGGGATCCGCGAGTTGAAGGAGCGGGGTAGCGGTCAAAGGTGCTCAGCAATGTTTGCTCTCTCCGTTTCCGATAGCCTCTGGTTGAAGACATGACTGAATTTTTGGGTTAGACCTTGTTGGGGTTCTACGATTACCCATTTTTCGTGCTGTGGTACGAGGTAGAGAGTGCCCCTTAAGCATGTATCGGTCGCCTAAAACCGACTGTCCACTGGAAGACGCCCGTATGACCAGGACCTTACTGTTGCCTGGTCCTAGAAGCGGCGGCAATGACTAGTTTTCTCCCGCCTTTTCCCCCGTATTTGTTCGTTTGGTTTACGCGTGTGGACAGAAGCCTAGTTTTGAGGGTTCGACAGCCTTGTCCACTGCGTGGCTACCTTTGTCGGCAGCAGAGATGTGTGTAGAGTGCAGCGGTGGATTTCTAGCCTAGTTGTTTTTTTCTTGATCTCAGCAGCGAAAGAGCGGCGTGCCGATTTCTGTATATATGGTGCGGGTAGGTCCACCGTGTGGGAGAAACTGATTAAAGGTTTATTGAGAGATTGAGAGGGCGCAGAGTTACAGAGAACGGAGAGAACGGTGAACGCATACGAAGCCACCCGACCAACGTAAAAACGCAAGGTGGTACTACAGGCGGAGGGAGCGTGTGTATGAAATGGAATACACGGAAGAGGTGCAAGCGCATAGTAGAGACTGCAGTGGTTTTGCAGGCGCACCGTTGCCTTTCGATGAAATTTGTACTAGCAGTAAATGGCATGGGATGTGAATCAGTAGGTTGATCGCCCGTCGCTTTTTCCGGCCACCGTTAGCGGACTTTGGGGACCAATATGAAAATGAACAACGGAGAGTGCTGTACCTTGAATGCGTTTTAAGTCGCCTAAAATTGTTCCTGCGGGATGTCGTTGAGGTTTGTGTGCTCTCGCTCGCTCGTTGTCACTGTGGCTTATCCTATTGGGCCGTTCCGTATTCAGCACATGGTGGAGGGCGCGCGCTGGCCGCGCCGCATCTCTTTCAATACTTAGCTCGAAAGGCTCAGAGGCTCTCACAAGTGAAAATAGAAAATACGACCGAGAGAGCACAAAAAGCTCGAAAAGTCTACAAAAACTGAAAACGCAAGGCCTTCTCTACCTTCTAACCTAAGAACCAGTCTATTTTTCTGTTGCGGCATCTTCCAAATCTCTAAACCCAAACGTTGTTTCGACCGCAAAGGCTGTTTCGACCGCTAGGAAGCCTTTGGGTGTGAAGTCCAACGGCTCTCAGAGCAACCTTGCCGTTGGGGTCTTGGTGTTTGCCCTAGTCAATCTTGTACTTTTCCGCCGTGGAGTCATAGTCCCTGAACCCAACGACTCTCTGGACCTCCTCGAAGCCTTCCAGGAGGTCATCCAACGGCTCTCCCGCCTTTAGCCTCTCGAGAGTCGAGTTCATGGCCTTGATGCTCGCGCTCAGCAGGCTCAGAGGGTAGGCCGCGATCGCGTACCCCATCTTCTCGAGCTCGACGGGAGGCAGTATTGGGGTCTTCCCAAACTGCGTGCGGTAAAGACGCGCGCGAAACATTTGAGAAAGGAAGCCCTCGTGAGAACGAAATTATTCCCAAACACTGAGGAACAAAGCACACACGAAACACAAAAGGAAGGCAGCTCGTGCAAAATGAAATTCTACGTAATTTCGTGCCATGCACAACAGCAGCAAGCAGAGGATGCACCCGTTTTGCTGAAGCGGTGGAAAATCGCCGTTGCGCTTCTCCGACATGTACCTCGAGCATGTTGGCGAGCTTGGGACCGTCGACCTCTTGGCAGTACCGCCGCATCTCCTCCTCGCTCTGAGGGGCCTCCAAGAACGTGATGTCCGCACCAATCTTCCTGAACTCCTTGCATCTCTCGAGCGCTTCTTCCAGTCCCAGACCAGCCCGGGCGTCCGTACGGGCCATGATGAGGATATCTGCGCCTTCGTCTCTGAAGAAAAACGACGGAGGGAGGGAGGGAGGGAAGAGGTGGCGATGAGGGAGTACTCAGCGGCTTGCGGGGTCCAAGTAGTAGCGGACGAAGGGGAAAAAATAGATGGTGGTGAGGGAGTACTCGGAGGCGTGCGGGGTAAAAATGGCGGAGGATGGGAAGAGGTGGTCGTGAGGGAGTACTCGGTGGGGTGGCTATTCTTTTCAATATCATGGTCGCGCCCTAAACAGCCGAACGAAAGCCCGATGCAACGGTGCTTCTACTGCCTGCCCACCTGGCGTCGCACGCGGCCCTGACGCGGCTGTAGGCCTCCTCCCTCCCGACGACGGTCTTCCCCTTCGTGTGGCCGCAGCGCTTGGGGGCGACCTGGTCCTCGATCATGATGCCGGCCATGCCCACCTTTTGCGCAGCAAGAGAAAACACAGGATGATTTCGGGGAAAGGGCAGCGCCGGGGAGCGATGGAGCGGTTGGGGGGTCAGATTGACTGTCAATGATCACTATGTAAGTACCACTCTTTTACCGGTACCCGTGGTTTGACGATTTACCCGATCCGCTTGAGACCTTCACGTGCCACGGGGATATTGATTGTTGCGTTGCGGTTTGGAAGGATACACCGTGCCGAACGGCCCGGGGCTCTCGGGAAGCTTGTCAGATAGGGTGTGGAATTGCTCAAAATCAGCAGTGTTCCACGTTCCGCTGCCGCAGAGGCATGCCCGGGTCCAAGCAGAGGGGGGAGACCTACCTCCATCTTTGCCATCGGTTCTCGCTAAGGCAGCGATCGCCCAATATCGCGTTTCTGGGAGGATCCGATAGCGCAACTTTGCACGACCGAAGTCGCGCAGGCCGCAGCCACGATACATGTAAGCATTGTGGTTGGCAGCAAACCAACATGTTCGGAACCAAATTGACTCGTACCAAAGACCCAACGCGGCCGCACCTGCGCGTAGCCCTTGACCGTCCGCTTGACGTTCACACTATTGCCATAGCCTGTATCGCCGTCCCCTATGCATGGTATGTCTCGCAGGGTGGCGCAAATATTGGTGGCGGAGGCCAGCATTTCGGCGTACGACAAGAGCTACAATCCAATGCGGCCGAATCGCATTGCATCACACATACACACGCGGGAAGGATCGGGGGGGACGTCAGTATATCGCTGCCAACCACCGTAGGTTTGCACACCTCCCCAATAGCAGCACACGGCAGGCTGAAGACGATGCGTAGGAAACATGAACGAACGCAAAGCGCACCCGCTGATTGGCACCGTCTAACGCCGGCATCACCGCTGTGTTTTTGATTGCGAACAGCACATACTATCTGAGATGACCTTGTCGAGGAAGTGGCATGCGATCCATATTCAACAGCAGCGTACTGTAGTAGAGGACACCATCAATCACCTGAGTGTCGGGCAAACCATGTGCGCCAGAAACTCCAAACCCTGTCATGAACGTCAACGGGAACCCGGCGTCTTCCACAAGCCGAGCTGTGAGACCGTCGTAGCAGCACGGCATGGTGAGGATCTCGGGGCGGCTGAGCAGATCACGGAGCTTGTCGGCGGCGCTGCTGGTCTTCGCCGAAGACATGGCTGTGCCAGCGCCTGCCTTGGAAATGGTGCGTCTGCTGCTGCTGCAGCCGCCATGGTGAACACGGCCGAAGGGCAGCGAACCGCTCGTCAAGGTGGAAGGCAGTAAGGCTTTCACCCTGAGGGCGCAGATGGAGACGAGCACCAGCAAGAGCGGCAGGGTATTGCACGACGACATATTTCAAGACGAGAACACAAAGGCTGGCCTCTCTCTCCTACCACGGCTACCACTCTGTGCTGTGTGCTGTTGTGGTAGACCACTGCTGCTGCCACTCTGCTGTGTGCTGTGTGTTCTCTGTTCTCTCGTTCTCTCGCACGCTCGCTCTCTCGCTATTTTCGCCGCACATTTTCGTGAATCCCTCTCAACTCTCGATGAACCCCCAAAGACGACAGTCCCGCGCGAGGTCTGTCGTCCTCCATCTTTTCTCGCAGTTCTCGGCGGCGCCCAGCGCCCTGAACGTCCGCGAGGAGGCCTCGTACCAGATGGCATCAACAGCCTCTAGCATGGGCGCTGTCGGTACGCCGGCTTGGGTCGTTAACGTCAGAGAGGAGATCGGTCGTTCGCCGGCGTGGGAGGTGCGCAGAACTCTTTGGATATTTGTTGTTGTCGCAGCTTGGAACGAAAGATCGTGTACCCTGAGAAAGCGCAGCAGACTTGGATGTGGTTTGCACATGTGGTTTGCACATGTCTTTCATCGGCACTCCAATACTCGAAGGCGGTGCTGTGCTGACTTGTCCGACTGGACGCCACTGCCGGCGAATCTTTAACAACAACGCAAGTTTTGGCACGCTGAGATAAAACTTGTTTGTGTTTGGAGGATCTACTGCGGTAGTCTCATGTTCTATTGTAGCTAGGAAAAGAGGGTTTCGTCCTCGACAGACGTTGGGGAGATTGTACCTTTATCAAGGTGGTCTCCACATTACCCCCCCCTTTTTCGAGACTTCTTCTTGTTTGCTATAGGCAAGAGAAGTCTTCTTGGGGTAACCGGAACCCGACCGGCTGGCGGCGAGTAGAACCACCTTTTTTCCAACAATCTTCTGTGCGTGTGTGCGGTTGCACCACTTCCGCCACGCATTGTCAGAAGTTTCGAGTTCGAGTACTGTGTGTGTGTGTGTGTTACGAACGTGTGTGGTGGCTGTGATACGGGGGGTCCCCCACCGTAGTATTGGCCTGACCGAACGCCGCTTAACTTCACCACAGATCTCTTCGTCGACGCCATTGTGGAAAAGAGGGTTTCGTCCTCGACAGACGTTGGGGAGATTGTACCTTTATCAAGGTGGTCTCCACACTACTGTACATAGACTACATTCTACTGCTGTGGTCATCAAACACAAGCACCGCTCTTTTACCTGTTGCCACGCACCGTTTTTTTCGATGTAGAACAGGTCCTTTCTGATCAGCTATTTGAGCGGGTGTCTACCGTGCTCAAGTCGCATGGCTTGGGGCATTTTTCGGACCTGTCTTCGCCGGAGCAGATCACACTTCTTGAAGAAGCGCACCGCGACATCATGTCCGAGAACAACAAAGTGAGCTGCCCGGAAAAGCTTGGTTTACTTATTCGATCACGCGCACATCTGCGTTACCCTCAACCAGGATGTGGTGCTTTTGAGGGAAACTCTTCTGCCGTATGGAATCAGCCACCCCGATGGCCTTGTTCCTTCAAAGTCTTCTACATGTCTAAACGGCTAGCTTCGATCAAGAGTTTCGGAAGATCTGGACACTTTTTACGGTACATGCTATTGAGCTAAACGTTACCCAGCAGAGTCCAGAGGGGTGACTCCGAATCCTTGATCTGGACAGCTCTCTACGCTCTACGCAGGTGTACCAGGCATTCGAGTCGCAGTTCAGCAAGTCCATGGACGCAGAGATCGCCAAGGAAGCCAGGTACGACCAGAGACAGACCGAGTGGAGTGCCGAATTGGCTGTCGAATGCAGCTTTGTTCGCAAGAGCGAAGTTCAAGCATTGTGTACCACATGGAGGAGGACGCTTTCTTCATCAGAAAGGTGTCAGACTTTTGCCTGGAGCGTTTTCCTCGACCACCCTCCAGGGCATCACGAAACATTCCGAGCCACAGCGTCACGAGCACTATTAAGTTATCCCTTAGTAATGCCAGTCCGATGAGGAGAGCATACTGAAAAACACCTCCCAGCTTTCATGCGCTCTCACTCAGAAATGCATTGATGCACAGACGTGGACGAACACCTTGTTGCAAGCACACGTGTAGACGTCCGTGTGTATCGACTTTCAAATGTGTACACACCTAGCTCCCTCACGTTCTTGCAATTCATGTCCATATAAGCGCCACACATTTCCTGCATATTGCGCTAGCTCTGCCAGCAACCACAAAAACACAGGCAAGTTCATACCCTATGCCGACTCGCAGAGCGAGAGTTGTCCAGGACAGCACGGCAAATCGCGAAGGCACCGAGGAAGCCCAATACCTCGACCGCATCCTGGACTCGGCGGCGGAAGGGGCGGTGTCCCTGTTGAGGGAGCTCCCCCGCGAACACCTAGGAAGCCTGCGCCTGATGCTCAACCAAGCGGTCCCGTCGCGGGCGAGGCTGGACATCTGGCGACTGCTCCTGAAGCACACGGCGGTGAGTTGTGCCAGCGCAAAGGAATTCGTTTACGAGGTTTCCTTCCCCACACCAGGACGGATGATGTAGCAGTCTAGGGTTATTGGCTCCTGGCCAGGTAGTGGTGGAAGTATGTCCTGTCTTGAATGCATTTCTGAAATCTCTTCTGTGGTCAAGCCAACCGCGCTGTTTCCGGGGTATGCCGGCAGTTCTGGCGTCGATGAACTCCCGGTTCGCCTCGTCCTCCAGAACGCCCACTCGTTTGGTCATGGAATGGAGCTGAATCGTCTCTCTAGGCCTAGTGGTGCCCGTGTGAAATCGGTACGAGCTTCACGTCGAGCTATTTCGCCAACTGTAGGCTAATAGCCCCGTGAGGCTCACAGCAATCAGGCCCGCGTGTGACAAATTAAGGCGCGGGAAGAGTACGAGCTGCTGGTGAGGCAGAACCGAAACAGCACCATATCGGGGCAGGACATCTACATCACTCACCGCTGCCAGGCAAGTGGTCGCACGAGATTCTTGACATCATCGACGCGGCCATCGGTCTTCACCCCGTAGATATGAACGGGGTCTCCACACGATTGGCTGTGACATAATCAAAGGAACACTCTCCAAGCTCATGATGTCATGTCGCAAAACCTCCACGGTATCGTGAAGTCATCCGGCTACCCCGCCCCGACTTGTGCACAACCACGTGCTAGCCCAACATTCTGTCACAAGGCAAGAGACACGAAACATACACAAACAAATGAAGGACATACAAACTTGTGCGTTCAACGTAGACCTGTGTAGCCGCGTAGATGCACACCACACCACCGAACCATGTACTGCAGCAAGACCAAGGGCAACGATCGCCATTGCTTTCCGAGCAAGGTGCGTGCCAGAGGAAACGATAAGGGACAGCGCCAAGCAATGCCCGTCACGCGCCACGCTGCTGTGCTTGATACCGTACGTTTCCCATGTCCCTGCGCAAGGCGTTTCCACAAGCCGGTCACCCCCACTGTACATCTCGCAACGTTCCCACCTCAAGTTAATTATTCTCGTGAACATTTTGGAAGCACCGCACGGCGCCGAAACAATTCTCTGTGGCACTAGGTCCTCCTCGAGTCTGGGAGCGTCGCTTCGCGTCGCATCCTCCCTCTCTCAAGCCGCAACGTGGTGCTCATGAAGACGGTGCTCAGCTACCATCACGCGTGCAAGATGACCAAGCGGGGACAGAAGGCCACGACCAACATCCCTGAGCCCTTCGTGCACTTCCTGGTGCCGTTGTGCGCCGTCATCACCGGAAGATCCTCATACTCCTCCTCTTCCAGCAGCTCCAACGCAGCGGCAACGGCAACAACAGCAGCAGCGTCGAGCCTGAGAGAACAGGAGATCGATATTATGATCGAGCGGTTGGTTGAGATGTTCGAGGGCGCCTTGGAGGCGGGTCTGGAAGGCTTGGTTGACCAGAAAGAGTTACCGGGCGGCACCGGGGTGTCAGGCAGTGGCGCTGGAGGCGTCTCAACAACTCGAGCCAAGAAATCGGCGAGGTCGCCCAAGACAGCGACCCGTGCTGCGGAAACCAAGGAGAACAGCGGGGACGGGCGTGGCGGCGCGGACAACATTGTCCTCCCCGACTGGGTCGACAAGAGCTACGGCGTGCTAGTGCCGGGGTTCCGTGGACTGCTCGATCACGTGACTCGCGTTCACCTGGGGTTGGCCGTAGCAGCAGTTCCATCGGAGGGAAACAAAGGCGATAACGGTAAGACGGGGGACGGTCGAATAAACACCGCCGACGGTAGTTCTTCCGCCGTCGGGGAAACCGGAGCCTCGAATGCTGCAACCGATGGGCAGCAGCAGCAACCGCAGGAAAACCAGCAACGAGGACAGGACAGCGCGACACAGCCAACATCGCCCCGGCGGACCAGCTCGGCAACAAGTCGACGCGCAGCGCTCCTGTCGCAAGGCCAACCGAGTTCCGAGGCGCCGTCACTGGGGAAAGGTGCAGATGGTGTCGATATGCCATCCTCCAGCCGGACCGACTCCACCACCGACAGCCGCACCTCCGCCCACCTGCCCGAAGTCACCGAGTCTCAAGCGCGCGTTGCGTTGTGGGCCCTCTTGGAGCCCTTGGTGACCGTGGGCCTCGTTGGACACCTCGGGGCAGATGCGTGTCTGTTCGCGTGGGACCAGGCGGTGATCGCCGGGTTCGGCGTGATGCTGCCCCGGGTAGCCGCAATGGTGGTGGCCGCGGCTGCGGACAAGCTCGGAGCGTGCTTGACGTTCGCGGTGATGTCGGAGGCCTTGTTTTCGCACGCGCACCTCGTTTCGGTGAGGTGACTAGAGGCTGTCGAGAGAGAGAGAGAGAGAGAGAGAGAGAGAGAGAGAGAGAGAGAGAGAGCTGGGGACGAGCAGATCAAGGAACAATCCTAGAGAGGGAGAGACAAAAAGAGTTACTTGTTCGTAAAACCCAAGAAAGTATTCACCTAAGCCTTGGTTTTGACAAACGTTGGCTGACAAGGGTCATCTATCGTACCATGTGGTGTACCATGTGGGTATTCGGTCGGCAAACGAATGTGGTGCACGGAAGATTGAAGCCTACGTTGCTCAGTTTCCGGCGCCTTCTTTCGTCGTGTTGAAACCGATCCCGACACCGACAGACCTCCCAGCTGCAGGAGCTGATGGAAGCGCACTGCATGCCCTCGATTCGCAAGGAGATGCGGGTGTCTCACAAGCTGTGTCCGGAGATAACCGGACCAACCCTCAAGACTGCCACCGACATACTTGACAGCGCGTACTCCAAGAGGACGAGAGAGGCACAGGAGGTGAGAGTCGATTTGTCCGGAGGGATCCGCCGAGAGTCTCAGTTGCTTGTTGTTTGCCGTCGGCGTGTAGGGCGACGACGTGGTGCCGAACGAGTGAAGCACGCATAAGTTTCCCCCTGAGCACCTCCAATGAGGTAACAGTTGAGCAAAACTTATCAACCCTGCCACAGACGTCCAGTCTGCATTAGGGAGATTACATCTTCTTGAGTTTAGGGACTGCAAGGCTGACTGAATTGGATTGAAATACACTCCTCTGTTTGTCTCGTGCGTTGCACGGGCATATGGCTAGGCTCGAAAGGCGCACGTGGAGCACACCCTAGGCCCATCCAGGGGCGGCTCCGTGCACCGGAGTCAAACCAAGGAGCGTATCCAGCTCGATCTGTCCCGAACAGCCGTGAGAGGGTCTTCTCGTGGCAGCAGCAACGACAGCAATGCCAGTCTTGGGTTCGACGACGACGACGATGCCGGTCGTAGTAACGGCACGAAGGACGAGCCCAGGGCCTCGAAAGCCCGGGGAAACGGAGCACAAGGACGGGACAAAGGAAAGGCCCCCCGAGGCGACGAAAAACAAAGCAGCGGTGCCAAGAAAAACACGTCGAGCAATGCCCCCCCCCACCGAAACGGGTCATCAGGTCCCTCTGCTACCGCCGAAAATGCTGGGAAGGCGGGGGCCTCAAAAAGCGATTTCACCCGCACCCGCACCCGCGGTAGGAATGCCAGCAACGCGTTGGCGAGGACTAGTTCTACTGCTGTTGAAGCCGAAGCTGCAACCGCATCGAAGAAACCAGGCGTCAAGAACACCAAGCAAAAGCTCTCGGCCGCCACCAAACGGCAGGCGAGTGTCCGCAGTACGCGAAAGGACGATAACGAAGACACCGAGAGCCAAACCGAAGGTAGCAGCGAGCAGATTTCGAGCAACGACAGCGGCCACAACCAACAGCGTCATGATCAGAAGAGCCAAAGGAGATCGAGAGGGAGGGACACGTCGGAAAGCTACTCGTCAAACAGGGGAAACGGCGAGGGTGGCGAGAAGTCAGCGGCACGCTCGAAAGGCGAGCGCCGAAACTCTCGGTCGAGACGAACGTCTGCCGCGGAAAGTAGCGATCTTTCTGAGGACGAGGGGAGCATGACGGTTGACGGCCAGTCCGGAAACAAAGGTGGAAGCTCTCCGACGATGTCTACGCCAGTTGCAAAGGTTCACGCCAGCGACCGTGGCAAAGACAAGAAGAAACAAGACGGAAAAGGAACACAGTTGGCATCTGCCGATGATGGAGGGGAGAAAGTGATACGGCGGTCCGAAAGGGCAAAGGCGGATAATAAGACCAGCAGTAGCAGGAGGACATTATCGCGTTCCCACGAGAGAAGCAGTCAACGAGACGGAGACAGGAGGAGGGAGACGAAACAGGTAAACAGACATATGTGTAGTTCATTGCGTCTTCTTGCTGGCACGCGCCATACTGGTGTTTCCCGCTCTTCGTGGAAGTCGTTCCGCTGTACGTACCTGTTCTTTTGCCTCAACTGCCCTTGCTGTCGGGAAATCGTACCTTGTTGTGTAAAGCGTTAGGGTGAACTGGCCCACAGTTTCTTATGCTGGAATAGTACCGATCACGGCTTCGAAGAGCAAAGTTAGTTGTTGTAAGAAGTGACCTTCGGCCCTCTCTCCCCCAAAAACAACTTGATGAAAGGGCACGGCGAAGGCCCAAGGGACCAAGTCGCAGAGGCACGCCAGCCGGGGTGTGAAAACCAGGGGTAGCTCCGGTGCGCCAAGTGCCGATGACGACAGCGATCGTTCTGCCGAGACGAAAGCAGCCCCGCCTACCGCCGCCGTGTCTCCGATTAGGAGATTGTTTGGTGGCTTCGGAGGACTCAAGAAGAAGGCGTGATCGATGAAAGGGGCGTCGACGTGGTGAACCAGCTCAGTTTGGTGACGGACGGGTGCAGCCGACGTAAACACGCGGAACGCAGCCGAGGAACGTCGTTGGTGGGTTCACTGCTGTATTCAAATTAACGAAAACTCATGAACGGGGCGACGATGATCATGATAGATATCACGAACGAAGAACGGCCGGCATTGTGCAATCTCCATCGTTCGCGCGCGAATGGTGCCCGTACTGTGTCGTCACATTGATTTATTCTAACGTGTACAGTAGCAGTGTCTCCGGCGGACCTCCACATTGGCGAAACGGGTCAAAATTTGGGGCACACATACATAACTCTTGTGATCGCAAGCGTTCGGGACCGCAAACGGCAACAACAAACATCGACATCCAACAACGACGACGACTGCGGCGGCCATGACACATGCGCTCCAGATGGGTCGGGTTATGATGATCGAAGTTAACGCTTCTACCTTCAAGCGTGCCACATTTTGCCTGCTTTCAATGGTGAAGACACCGACACAACATAACAACACCGGCGACGACCGCAACAACAACGACGATGGCATCATCATCATCAACGAAACAGCAACCACAACAGCAATAACAGCTACTACTATGACTAATTCTACTACTATGCATACGATAGTACAACGCGCTGCCAACAAAATCGATCTCGTGCGTGTGGCGGCCTTCTTTCAGTGACCGACGACAAGCCTCATCTACCATGGAACTCTTTGGACGCTCCGTGCGTGCACACTGTGCCAATGGCGAGCCTTTACCCCCTCGGCTGGAGGTCATATGATCACTACGGGAACATTGGTACGAAACCGAGAGCTTCTCACCGCGTCGAACAATCCGACATTGACGAAAACTAGGTATGTAGAAGAGACTACTTCCGCATGTAGAACGCTCACACGCATGCAGTTGACGCTGCACAGTAGTGGTCCTGTATGAGGCGGCATAGTAGTACCAAGGAATTCGGCCAGCCTTACACTGGGCACCCGGCGCTATTTCCGAGCATGAGACAACTTGAATATTCAATCGGTGTCACGCAATTTCACCAGCCCTGCACTTGGTCGACCCGCCATATTCAGGCGGCCTTCTACAGCAACCACCACTATTATATCATATTTCCGTCGGGCCAAATGGCGTAGCAGTTTGGCGGCTTACGAGTCCACCTCGTGCATCACGGCCTTCCCGTGCTGCTCCACGGGCATCCAGTAGCCTTCCGGGTGGTCGATCTTCACCCACCCGGGGTGCTCCGTGACGTACCTGCGATGCGAACGACAGCAAGGAGTCACAAGTATCGGGGTTGGAAGAACAGCGTGCAAGAGAGAGTGGTCTGGTACTATTGTTGTGAATGGTTTTGCTCTCGACATTATAGCTTCACAGGAAGAAAAAACGGCACACAAGCACCACAGTGAAAGATAAAACTTACCAGCCCTTGAGCATGGTGCCGTTGCGCGGCCAGTCGGAGCTCGACGTAGTAGAGCCCATCTCCGGCTTCGTTCTGCAGGAATAACGCGGGAGGGGGGTGGATCGCAAGAAAAATGATGCGCAAAAAAAAATGACAAAGGATACGGTGGCGGATCCCTACCACCTGCATTTACGTTCCGTCTGCACACGTGTTGCTACACGTTCTGGCATCTCCGTGCTTCTCTCGTCGGTCGCGGTTGTGTCCTCTGATAACTAAACTTTCTACCCTTGGTCCCCTTTCGCCCGTGTAGGGTGGGGTTGTCGTCGTGTTGAGGCCTTGACCGTCCCATTTAGACACAAACAGTATCGAATGGCGGCCTCTTCGCTCCCAGAAGCACCTCCCCCGTACCACGGCGCCCCGCTTGCCACGAGAGTTCAGATGGTACCAGGGACTCGGAATTTTCGCCGAATATTCTTCCGCGGGTCCGTCAGTAGCTCCTTATACATCGTCTCTCATACGATTTCAGCCAGCTCCACCTTGGGCACCCCTTGCCCGCCCCACGAGATGCCCAATCATCATTCGCCACCGTCCATCTAGTTGTTTTGTCAAGGCTCCTGCGAACAGCAGTTCCCTACGTCGGACAGCGGCTTCAACACTTCGGCACCCAACATTGAATAGAGTCCGGCGGTAACATGTATCCTCCTCAGCAGCTGGTAGTGGCCGAGGTGCGGAGCCCAAGTCATGTGTCCGTACGGTAGAACCTCCATCGGCTCCGCTTTCAGCAATCCGACCATGGGTCTCCTTGACGCTGTCTGCTGGTGCCGAAAAGCATGACCTCCACTCCATCTTTTGCCAACAAGAACGAAACTATAACCGGAGCGAATCTGCTCATAGACAAACTTGGTAACAGCAGCATCAAGTAGCTGAACATCTCCCTGCGTCGACCACATGCTTGTGCGAGCAATATTAACGAGCAAGACGCCTATGCCCGACATGGTACTTTGTTGGGCACGGTGTAAGTTGAGGAGAGCTCCCCAATATCTTTTATTGCCGGTACAAGCAGGGGCCAAAAATTGTCCCAGGACTGCTGTGCTACTATTTTCAATAAATTAGAGAGACAGGTGGGACTCGCCAGGCAAGCCAGTTTCAGCGCTTGTTCTCTTTGATTGTACCTCCAGAACATGCCGGAACACCCGCCAGCGCTGGCATCCAGCTTGAAGCTCTTTGCTGCCGCTGCGTCCATCGTTACAGTCGACTAGTCCTATTAATAATGGGAGCTGCAGGCAACACACGGGACGGAGCGAAAGGGGGGGGGGGGGGGGGGGTGCTCGGCGGACGCACAGACAGCTACATCTAGCGCCACCTCCTCAATAGGACAGCTGCCCGGTCGCATCGACGTTGTGTTTTCAGCAACACGGAGATAGGGTTGTTGTTGTTGCTGCGGTTGTTGAAGTTGCCTTTACATGAAATTTCGTCCCGGTCTCTTTTCAGCACCTTCTTATATCCGTACTGGTCCACCTGACTCGGGCAGCTTCCGTGGTCACAGGCCAGCTGCCCAATAGAAAGGGTGAAAAAGCGCTTGTACGAGTCAAATGGACAACGAGAATGGACTCAGAAAATCCTCAAACAACCGTGATAGCAGATCACGAAAGGCGGACCGGGAGGCGATCGACCCCGGAGAACGACCGAATAACATAAATGCAGACAATCAAGAAACAGGGAGGCTCCAGGTGGCATGAAAAAACATGCGAGCAGATCGTTCTCGAAGACGGTGAAACAAGAACGAACCAACATACGTTGCACCTGGTACAAGCTATTTCTGGTGAAATTACAATTTAGAATGTCCATATTGGGGGGTTTCTCCGACCAGACGAACTCCCTGCCATGCCCTGAAAAACTGGGCTGCTACCGTAACCCCAACAATAACCCATCGATTCCATACGTTGTCCAATGCCGTGGTATGTTGATGAAAACCTGCATTACCAGGTACACTGGAATACTAGACTATGCCATGATCACGGTTTCAGCATCCTCCCGCGTTCAGACAACGCGAGCTGGGTTGATGTTTATAGCAGCACCCGCACAAATGAGATGAGCCGCTGCTTGAAGGTTTATCGGGTTAGACCAGGGCCGCTCAAGCACAGATACCGACGTGTGTGCACAGCAGTCGGGAGTCCAATGCCGATGGTGTTATTCACGTTATTGTACAACAGTATAATAGGATACGCTCCACTTGAGCACGGAGTAAAAGCGCTCTATTCTCCGACGATGCGTCTGCAGCAATTAAGATAGGGTCACGACACATGAACTACAGTACCGCTGTTGTTAGCATACAAATCCCCAAAACATTTCTCGACGGGGGGCACCGACCAAAGCCTGCAAAGGGAGTTGTTTGCTCGCAGAGGGCGGTACATTCTGATCATTGGAAGGAAGGGTGGATCCCTCAACCTCCCGTTGGTCGAGCATCGGGTCATTCGCACACGACATTGTCCCGAGAAAACGATTTCCAGTCGGTGTACGAGAACTAACCACTTCTGAAACACGGAAAACAAGTCCGGGTTGTCTGGCAATGATTACCCTGCCGGAGCTCGTCAGCACTCAGCACGGCATCGATCGCCTCACGATCACTGGGGACGACAGAGTTGGGCGGAACCGACTGAACATCACACGGATGCATACCACAGGACACGAACATGATTCGCAGAACACGGCGGTGGTATTCGACACGAACGTTCGTTGCAGTTGCCGGCCAGCGAATTACAGGCGAGACCCGAGGGAGACAACGATAAGGCCCTAACCCAGGTGATATGCATGGTCCTCTAGCGTTTTAGATCATCGCCACGGAATAGACCAACCTTGCTGCTGTATCCTTTTTCGAAAACGGTCTAAAAATCACACCCGCATTGTATCAAGCAGGACGAGGAGCAAAATGCCCCTCTGACCGGGAGCGGCCGCTCGAAAAGCATTACTGGACCTACCTGCTTGTGTTGCTGCGCCTCCTCTGCTTTTACTAAGGTCTGGCCGTCAGCTGCGTAAGGATTGATTTGCCGTGACACATGCTGCGACGATCCTCGTCCGGGGGGGGGCACGACCAATGGTTTTACACCTCCCCCACGCCACACAATTAATGCTCAAGGGGACCCTCCCCCCGGTTCCCCGCGTTTGGTCGGCAGTCGGCTCGTCTGCTCAAGCTGTTTCCGTTTCCCAGGTCTATGATCAGTTCCTCTTTGTTCTGCGAGAGGAGAAAACGACCTAAGCAGTAGCTCCAGACATGGGAGCCAGATGTTGCGGCTTGTGCTTCTGCGTGGAAGGGGACGATAAGGAAGACGCCCTTGTGGACAACGACAGCAACAACCCCTACCAGCATGAGCACAGCAAGAGGCATGCCAAGTGGTGTGTAGACGACTCGGCAACGGAGCGGGTTTTCGTCCCTGACGGTACGTGATGATGAGTAAACAAGGCATCGAGAGAGGACGGACGGTAGGCCGGTCTTTTGCCGCCACCAATCTTTCTGATGCCTGGTCCACCGGAACATCCGCGGCGTGTGTGTGCTTGCGAGAGAAGATCAGTGCGGAAACTCTCTTGTTGTCGATGTTGGCACTTCTCTCTCGGACGGAGGAATTGTACCACAGGTACCACTTTTTTCCTGTGTCTCTTTTCTTCCCAGCAGAGAGAGTTGATCCGTTGAGAGTTCCAGTCACAGCCCTGCTGTGACTGCTGTTGTAGCGCAGCCGCCGCTGTAGGCTTGTGTGCATGCCAAGCACAGACAAAGGAAGCACGGCACTTGCTGTTGTGGTGTCAACATGACCAGAGCTTCACACGCTGTTGTGTCCGAGCTCAGCATCCCCTATGTCGGCTGTTGGAGGTTGGTCAATACTGGCTGTAGTAGTCTTATCACGTCATGCGCATCACTCGTGCACTGACTAGCCAGCAGCAGCGTGCCAGGTGTGCGCCCACATCGAAACACATGGTTGAAAAAATACATGGTTGACGTACATAAAAGGCGACCCCCTCGAAGCCTCCCAAAGTTGTAATAAGAGAAGCTTTACTCTTTCTACGGGGAGCAACACAATCCTGCTGTCGAACCAAAATCACCGTTTCGTGTCTGGCAGCGGTTGGCTGGAATCATGGAATCGTAATAACAGCCGCTTTCCCTCCATTCACTGTAAAGCTGTAAAGACTTCAACACGTCCCGTTCGACTGTGGTCATATCTCGAGTGGCTAGTCTTTCTGTGTTTGTATCTTTGTTTACTAATATTTAGTAATACAATAGCAACAACAAGCGCCTTTTGGCAGGGAAACCGTCCACAGAACCTTGCTCTCGTCCAAATGCGAAGGCATGGACTAAGTAATTTAGCACGTAAATGAGTTTTTCTCTGCGAGGCCGCACGGGAGCTATTCAATCAGTTGCAGCGACGGCGAGAGGTACAGCAGTATACGAAAAAGAGAGGTATGTACAGCAGTACGGCAAGGACCAGTACCCCGAAACGGGTAACCGTATCACTATTTTAGGGTACACTTAGAAATCAACACGCATGCACCCCCAGGCAGCCAGCTGATTGCCCCGATACACCATCGTACCCGCTTTTGGAGAAACCTTCATCGGGCACAACTGCCGCTGGCATCTCGGCCCCCTGTTGTAACCGATGCTGGTTACCCGAAAAGGGGTCGATTTTATACCCAGAAATGGCCAAATAATCCTTTTGCATCCGACGACTCTAAAACCCGCAGGAAAAAACCGTGTACCGCGCATACCCGCCCCAACACACCGTGTACCGCACATACCCTACAGCAGTAGCTAAACAACCACGACTGCAACTACAAATTGACGCGGCGAAGAAGTTTACTGATAAATGGAGATTGTCTGCCAACGTTAAGAAGAGTGCCGTCATGGTATGCAACGAGGTCAGGGAGGAACTAGTAGAACATAGATGAAACTGGAGGATCCAGGAGATTGCAGTAGTGGACCAGTACACATACCTCGGAGTAGAGATCGCAAAAAACTGCTCGTGGAATGCACACATGTCCAAGGTAGCGGAAAAAGGCAAAGCACGAGCAGGGAAGCCGCACCCAATACTCGCAAACCGGCACCTCGATACACGCATGAAATTGACGGTTTTGAAGAGCGTAAATCGTACCGCCGCTAGAGTACGCCAGAGAAGTATGGGAAGGAAATAAGAAGGTAGGGAAAGAACTCGAGGCGGCGCAGATGAAAGCAGCGAAAATCATCCTAGGATGCTCCAAGCGCACAAGTAATGCAGCCGTCAGGGCAGAATTTTGGATCCAATCCCTACGGTCGGGAAGAGACGCAAGGAAGCTGACATGGCAGTACTGCATGTGCGGGGTGGGAGAGGAGAGGTTGCCGAAAATTGTATGGGAGGTGAAGTGGGCAAACAAAAAGAGGGGTAGACAACCCACGGAATGGGTCAAGGTTGTAGAGGACGTACGGAAGGGGTTAGACATCGACGAAGATGAAACGCTGGAAATGGAGGGTCTACCATGGTTCAAGGAGAAGATATCTGTTGCTTGTGCCGAGAGAGAAAAACAGAATCTAAGGAAAGAAACCAAGGATAGGGAGGGTCTAGAAGTGTACGGAATGTTGAAAGAAGGACTAGGATTCAAGGATTACCTACATGGACCAATGGATGCAGGGACAAAGCTTAAGGTCGAATTCAGGACCGGGGACATAGGCCTTCGAGAGCGTCGAAAAAGACATAGGACGGTAGATGACGAAGACGACATGTTCAAATGTGATTGCGGCTTCGAATGCGAAGACCGTGTTCATGTAGTTGCGGAACGCCCGTGGTGCGAAGAGGAGAGGGAAGTGTACATGACTGAGTTGGGAAAAATGCAAGGGAGGTACAGGGAGATGTTTGAGGCATGGAATAAAGAGGAGAGGACGGACGCTGTGCTGGAGAGTAGGAAATGGTTTGAAAAAGCGGGAAGGGATATTGTTAGGATAGACAAACTAGGGAAGACATTTTTGAGCCACCTTTGGCAAAGTAGGAAGGAACGATTGGCCATCGGTGATCGGTCCTGTGGGAACAATGCTCCGTCCTCTCGAGGACGCGTGGTCAATGGTCTAACCGCTAAGGCATGCAAAACATAAGAGTACACCCCCCCACCCCACCCCCCGCCCCCCCCCCCCTTGCCCTCATTTCGTCTTTTCCTTTTGCCGCAGCGTCGAGAAACAAGTATCAAGTGGTGGGGTTAGGCGGGGCGACGGTCAGAATGACGGCGCGACTCGACTCGCCGGTTTTGAGAACATTGCCGCAGGGCACGGTGAGTACAATCCTCTGCTGCTCTGCTGCTGTAGCTCTGTGTGTACCTTGAGTGTCGTGTGGCTGCCGCAATGGATGATGGATGCCAGTGCGAGTTCGGCCTTGTGGTAGAGATTGTGGCGAAAAACATCACGGCAGCAGCTTTTTCTCGCCCAAAGCCGTTCGGCACAGGAACGTGGTCGTGTTTGTCGACGTTGTGGTGGCAGACCATGACGCGACGCCAGACATTGCAGCGGTACATAGCTTTGCGTTATCAAACGCCGTTCGGCTGCAGAATGATTGCCCGGATATGTATTGATAGTTGGCTACACATCCCCTCGAAAGAGCAGACAAGACCATGCGGTAGGGTGTAGATGGAGTTATTCTTTTTTCAGGTTTGTTGTTTGAGATAAGAAACAAAAAGCGGCCATGTTTGCAAAGCGCAGCGGAAGAATTCACGACACGATTGTCGCGGATTTGTGGCGGCGCCAACTCTCTCCCTTTTTTGCGTTTGGTTATGTCCGGGTGCGGTAGGAGCTCTTACTGCCGGTGTCACACATTGCCTAGCGAGCACTTCCTGTGTTCCTTGGAGGGGAAGGAGTAAACGAAACAGAATGCCGGAATGCTTCGCGAGTAGTTTGACTCTTGACGCTGTCGCGGCTTCGATTGGCCGGCGTTCGCCGAATGTCTTTGGATGAAACTTCGGCCTTTTATCCCACCCAACACGCACCACCGGACCGGACAACGTCTTCGTCGCGCTCCCACCGGTCAACCTCTGAGCACGGTCGAAGCAATTCGAAGGAAGCCATTCTCCCGTACACGCTGGTGCACCCCGCACCCTCTTTTCGCTGGCTCAAGAGCGTTGTGCATTTTTTTTATCTTGTTCGTGTTTCGGCGGTTTCTGTCTACCCTGTTTTCGAAGAAAGCGTAGATTGAGCAGTTGAACCACCCCCGGAATCAGCGACGCTGGTGCGTTCGAGCGCGACTCGCACACATACACACACTACAAACACGAAA